GGTCTGGAGGTATAAAAGTACAATCAATCAATATATTTACATTTTTCAACTCAAGGAATAATTACTTTTTCCATGTTTGCAAATCATACACAGGTGTTTCCTCTATGAGTAACAGGACAAGAATGCTTGTTTCAAAACTGGGAAAATTATTATAGTGGGATATCCAACAATGGCTCTGTATTAATGAGAATCACTTCCACTCAAGCAAAGCAGGACACCCAATTCTTGTTGCAATGCCCTGCTAATTCCAAGGGAGTCATTATGGGGTCTGGAGGTATAAAAGTACAATCAATCAATATATTTACATTTTTCAACTCAAGGAATAAACTGGGAAAATTATTATAGTGGGATATCCAACAATGGCTCTGTATTAATGAGAATCACTTCCACTCAAGCAAAGCAGGACACCCAATTCTTGTTGCAATGCCCTGCTAATTCCAAGAGTCATTCAGAAATGCTTACTCTTGTTCTTATCATATTGACAGATAGAGTGTGTCTGTCCCTGCTGTCCAAGCCCTCATTCAGTTCCACATCAATTGGCTGGCATATTATGATATGAAGCTGATTTGAGAATTGTGAATCATGGGCCTCTCCCACCAGATATCCTCCAGATGTGGAGGCATGCACCATTGCCGGCTGGGGATTCTGGGACTTGCAGTCCCCATATATCTGAAGATTACTAGATTGGGAGGACTGACTATATTCTAAGACAAATGCTGATCTTTAAGTTAAAGAAATATGTCCACCAAAACCAAAAGAAATCAAGGATTCAGGAATGAATCTCAAGACCAAAATTCATACTACATGGGGATTTGCAATAGTATTTCACAACAGTTTTGTTTTCCTTTAATATGGCCAAAGACATTTCCAAATTTCCCCATAACAATGGACTAGAGAAAGAAGAGGGGATTATTTTTTTTCCCTACATTATTTTTCATATTAGTAAATCCCCTCTGAAAAGTGAGTTTCCATACAGGAAAAGTATCATCATAAACAAATAGATCCCAAGATGGATATCTACCAAACAACCTTATTCAGATACATGTTCATTCTCTCTCTCTCTCTCTCTCTCTTTTTAAAAAATCCTCCTTTCTGGAGGCAACAGAAATTACCTTTCTGATTATTCATCTCTACAGAAAAGGTCTGTTGACAGGCCATTCACCATACCGACACAAATTTAGTGCTTGACATGTTTAACATTAACAGCGTTTGCTCATAATCAAGAGTAGAAATCAAGCTGGAACTAAGAAGGAAAAATCTTGTGGTCATACTCTGCAACCTGAATTGTGAAGAGGTTAGTAGCATTCTCTATATACTGAGAACTTGGATGTTTCACATTTTCGTGGCGTTCTCTCATCTAACTTCTGTGCTTTATTCCTAAGAGTGATGAACTCAAGCACATTAAAGGACAATATGAACATTTCTCATGATGCGGAATCTTCTGTTTCTCATGATGCAGAATCTTCTGTTTCTCATGATGCGGAACCAACTTAGATACTAACAGTATTCTTTCAGAAATTCTGTTACTGTAATAGCACTATAATAACTTAAACTGCAATTATTCTCATTTTCTCTAAATTTATGTAAAACATTCTTATGGTTCACTTGGACCTCTGGTGATTCAAATGCTCTGGGATTTCTGCAATCTTTTCTAGAAATGATGCACTATACTGAAAGAGAATGGCACTATTCCAGAATGCAAAAAAGCTGCATTGAATAATTTGGAATGCATGAAGATAATTTGTATTTAAGGTCAAAGAATATATGATTTGATTTGCGCTCAACGTCAGCATGTGGGATCAGTTTTGATTAATTTTAAGTCTCTTTAACTACTGTCCAGACCTCAAAGTATTCTAATGTATAGGTATCCTTCAACAGATTTTTCAGGCAAAAATAATTAGATTTTACTACGATGACCATATTTTTTTGGAAAAACTAAAGGACAAACCTGAAAAAGGGAAAAATCTATCAAGTTAGGATCATAGTCAAGAAAATGGTTTTGCTTTGTTGAAAATAAATTATTACCCTAAACTTAAAATCCTGGACTGCAGATATATGCTCACTTGAATTTGTATTAACTGAGTCACCATTATATAGTTACTAAAATGTCTATGTGTATATAAATGTAGGTACATATATTTGGTTTTATTTTTTTTTCCACTTTAGTTTGTTCAGTTTGGGAAGTTTCTCACATGTATTGTTTTGTATTTGTGTAATAATTTTTTTCTTCTTTTTTTCTAGTTGTTTGTATATTATAGTAATAAAATAAAAAATGATCTTTTGATTGTGATTGCACAAACAATTATCAGAATAAATATCTAAGTACAACGTGATGCTATTAAGAGAAAACAAGCTAGGATGATTGCCAGAATTTTAAAACTTAGGGAGGCTGTTTTGCCCTTGGGGACAACAATTATGCTTTTCTAAACTTTCATTTACAAAATGATACAGTAACATCAGCAGCTGAATAAACAGAATCTTGCCAATGGAGACGTATCTTAGCATCACAGCTGTTCAGTTTAGGGAAAACATATTTTATATTTTGAGTTATGAAATCCAGATACAAAAGATCAGCCTCCTTATTTGACATGGCTGCCACCTTCTGGAAATCTGTGAAATACTGGGAGCTGGATTCTGACTTAGCTGGAGAGATTGCAATGCTTTTGCATTACACTGTACCAGAATTTGCAATCAGTATCCTCAAGTGATTGCTGGGGCCAAAACCTAAACAAAGCCCACTGATGACAAAGCTTCTCTTGGCTTCACCAGCATTGACACTTTCTTTGGTCCTGTTGCCAATGAATGAAAAAAAACCCCAAGGGGATTCATTTGTTAAGTGTCTTTGGGAAGGTGACATATTTGACTGATAGGGTATGAGAGTGACAGTGAACAGAAACTGGGAAGTACGGTGCAGCTTATGCCAAGCAAGGGGTGAGCAGACCAGATTTTTGCTCCTCAGTAGGTGTAATGGTATGTGGGAATGACCTTGGGAGACAGGAGAAAGAGCCACAGCTTAGACAACGGTCTGATAAATGAAATTTGAGTCTGAAGGAGGAAGGATGGAAAAAGCAACTCAGAAGATACCCTCTCTAGTTTTGGGGAGAGTAAAAGTGAGGGATGAGAGGGGTACTTTCAGACTTGCAAGATTCTATTAATGTAACCTTACAATAGAGTTAGTATACATTGTCATGCTTCTTATCTGGACTACCTCGAAGGACTAACAGTAGGTCACTAAGAAATGTAGGAATGGGAGAAATAAAGTTGATTGTACTTTTGTTGATTTAGAAAAAGCACATGAAAAAGTGAATAGACTTGTGTAAATGAAGAGTTGAAGATTGGTTGTTGAAGGTCATATGAGCAGTATATGACGGAAGCAAGGCATGCGTGGGGTAAAAGAAATGCTTTGTGAATGGCTCAACACGGAATAGGGAGGAAGATAAGGATGCTTGGTTGTGTAATATATTTACAGATAAATTTATAAGAAATGCTTGCAGTGACGTGAATGTATATACAAGTAGTCTTTGACTTACGACGGCAATTGGGACCAGAAAGCGGGGGCAAGGGGAACATGCAATTTCTGTAGGAAGGGATTACAAGAGAGTAAGCAGGCCCACAATGGGAATACACTGGCCTGTTTGCGTAGTGCGCTGGTGGCTGCCAGACCTAGCGCACTGCTTTCAATGTGTATTCCCCATTATGGGCCTGCTTACTCTCTTGTACTGTAATCCCTTCCTCTCCAATGAATGTAAATACAAACATTAATTCCCTTCTTGTTAATTATCCCAGCAGGGGTGAGCATTCCAAAGTGTGGGGAAGTGGTTAGGTTATGTATTTGATTGTTCATATGTTATCTTGAACACAAAGTAAAGAAAGAGCAGGAATGGGAGAAAGAGAGAGTACAGGAGATAATAGCGCAGTGAACTTTGCAATCCATAATTTATGCCTTTACTACAATCTGTGCACCCAGCGAATTGTAACTTATTAAAAATGGTTAAAAACTAGGACATAGTGATATGCAGACCCAGCTAGTCACTCTAGAGATGGAGTAACGTATACTTGGTTTGCATTTCTTTATGTTAAGCTCCTTGAAGGAACAAATACTTTTGTAACATGTTCAAAATTCTGAGTGATCCATAATGACAAGTAGCAAACAAACAAGACAGAAAGGTATTACACATTTGATATATTTACCACTGTTTGGAGTTGCTTCATTTTCCATGACAAGCTCATAGTCATGACCCCTTTTCTTTGAAGAAGGCGCTGCAGGGAGACTTCCAAAGGACCTTGGACACCCAAAAGTAATACTCTTTTCCCATCCAGGGTAGCACATGCTGAAAGCAAAAGGTAACAATTGCTCTCATTATCTACAGTAACAGCAAATTACTGGAGAAACAAAATGAAACAAAACATGTTAAAATGGGAGCTTGGATTTCCTAACCTGATCGCTCATGTGAAAAAACTACCATAAAAAAAAAAGGGTGGGGGGGGTAGGCCCAGCCCTGTGGTTTCAGAATTTTTCCTATGATCAAGACCACCGTGAAGCAGGGCAGGAGATACTTGCTTAAGTTTGACAGATTAATAGACAGAAGTATGCTTTCACGCACATATATGAGGAATGGTGGTTTTGGTGTGAACAGCAGAAATATTAGTGACAACTCGAACAACATAAATGAGAGCCACTTTGGTGTAGTGGTAGGCGCTGGCCTAGAAACCAGGAGAGTGTGAGTTCCAGGCCTGCCTTAGGCATGAAAGCCGGCTGGGTGACTTTGGGCCAGTCACTCTCTCTCAGCCCAACCCACCCCACAGGGTGGTTGTTGTGGGGAAAATAGGAGGCAGGAGTATTACGTATGTTCGCTGCCTTGAGTTATATATACATTAAAAAGGTGGAATAATAATAATAATAATAATAATAATAATAATAATTTTGCTCAATTAAAGGTAATACTGTGAAGGGCATGAGTGGGGAGGATTTCTGGAAGGCAGCTTCAAGGTTACAGGGAGGGGAAGTGACATTCCAAGCATCTCCTCAGCCCCCAGCTGGACTGTGTGAAAGTAAGAGGGAAGAGATTGGCCCCTCCCTAAGGGCTTGATGGTTGTAGTTGCTCTCATTGGGGAGTTAGAGTTAGTCTGGTGAGATTCTGTCTATTAGGTGCAAGCAAATAAAGGAGCTGAGTTGATTTCCAGACTCTCTCGTGTGATTCTTGGGCTGAACCTGACAAATACACATTTTACTTATAGATATTGCATGTTTACCCACCCTAATTGCATTGAGTCCAAAACAGATGTGTGTGGTACTGTATTACTTTAATTAAAATACAACTGCAGTATCTTACCTCTATGCCCTCTATTAAAGCCTCAGAAGTCCTACTAATTTAAATAGGGTTCACGTTATTTCACACCCTTTCACAGCCCATAATGCCCTCCCTCTCATTCATTCATCCACTCACTTCACACACAAACACATAGTACTCATTTCCATTTTGAGGTGGAGGGCATTCAGGGGTTTAGTTCCTCTTTCCTCACTCTAGCATCACCCCAATCTGCATTTTTAACATTAGGGATGTGCAGCACTTTGGATGCAAACTTGAAAAGGTGATTTAGAGCAGATGTGGCTATGACACCGCACCTGCTTGGCACCTCCTGAAAAAAGCTGCATCTTTTCCTGGGCTCATGAGGTAGCTGTGCAATGCTAGGAAAATATGACTTTGAGCTAAATGCCGACAAAACACTTTTAGAAAGGGTATGGGAATGCTACCAGCAACTCCTTAATTCAAACCTGTGTTTTCCTGAGATCACACAGCTACTGTGCAAGCTCATGAAAAGATGCAGTGCCAGCAAGGTACATGCACCTATGCCCACTCCAAAGCATCTTTTCAGCTTCAAATATGAAGCGCTATAATATCACTTATGATCATGGTATTTCCAAAGCCAAAAATATAATCAGAGACTCTTAATTCTCTGCTGCTTTTTAGTGGCCTACTATGAGAAAACCCACAGTTGGTTCAGGTGTTGGTGAAGAACTCTATAGTGAAGAAGTAAATGAGCAATGGGCAGAGAAATCTCATGCATGAAGTACATTTCTGCTATTCAGTAGTCCCATTAACTTTAACGAGTTGCACCTATTTTTCAGACTCCTGTGGAAATCTGGAAAACGTTGGGTGACATTGAGGCATAACAGAGTAATCCAAAGTACTTCTTCAGAATCACGTTTGAGGCACACACAGTCCTAGATATCATATCAGTTTGGCGAAACTTACTGCCAGGTACTTATCTTGGTGATTGTGAATAAACTCACAAACTTACAACCTACAATTCATCAGTGGTAGAGATTGTGCAAGAGGCAATGGGCAGTTGACAGGCAAGCAAATAAGGAAGAAGGATTGGGTAACCTGATTTATTTCTTCTCTTTATATGGTTTTTTTCTATTTGTCACTATAATCCCCGGGTTAAGAATGCCCAGTTTAAGGATGACCCATAGTTAAGAACGGAGCCTATTGTAGCAAAATTCAGGTTAAATACACAGTGATTCAGGTAAAATACACAATGATTCGAGTTCATTACACAATACTACATATACAATATTATACAATAATACTGCTCCAGCTTACACACAAATTCAACTTAAGGACAGACCCTGGGAGCGGAACTCATTCTTAAACTGGGACTATCTGTACTGTAAAGGGAAGGTTGGCAGCAACATCCTTCTCCTCCTTCTCCGCTGGATAGCATCAACATTTTATGCCCATGAGCAATTCTACTTCAGACACAAGTAGGTGGCCTAGCAGAAATCATTGCCAATTTCATTGCAAATGAGCTTTGCAAACCAGTAGGACACTAGATTTATACTGTTTACTACAGTAAATAATACTGATTCCTATTCATCTGAACAATGAATTTGCAAGGTTGGCTGTTTATTGAGAAAGAAAAAGTTGTCACTGGGAAGTTATATTTCATTCAGGCAGGTCAAACATGAGTTGGGACAAGCTAAGAACAGTGGTTTGAGATAATAAATATCATTTACTATTATGCTGTACCTTGTTTTTCCAGAAGTTTGATCACTGCACTGGCAATAGGGGGAACCACACATTCATGCATGTCTCCATGCACTAATCGTACCAAATTAAAATCTGTTATCCTGCAACAAAAATAGGGGAAGGTGACAGTCCACAGCAATTATGTACAAAAATGCAAGCAAAAGGTTTTTGTTTTTAAAAGAACAATAACGACATAAGGACAATGCAGAACCATCAGTAACAAGTGCTAATCAAAATGATTATTTATTTATTTATATTTCAAATTTGTCACCACCCATCTCACTGCAGAGCAACAAACACAATGGATCATAGGTACTTAGTCCAGCTCTGCCTGGTGTGGCCCTCACACCTTCCCAGACCATGAAGCCCCACTTTAAGATTGCATACCCTTGGTCTATTGATGCCAAAAAATTATTTATTTCTCTCAATGAATCATTTTAACATCTGAATGCATCTTATTTGTGTCTTCTATCCTTTGTTCTCCCCAAAACCGCCTGTCCCCAACAAGTTCAGGCAATTAGTTTTAGCTGAATACAACTTGGAGGAAAGAGTAGGAGTGACAAATCAGGCCTGAAACCTGGAGTGTAAAAACTGCACCCCAACACCTGCAAGCAGGCACCCAACTTCTTTACTGCAGCCCCTAGCTAGCACTGTTGCTCTTTTTTATGTGTGTGGAGCTTCAGACATCAAAGAGAACTTCCAGATTCCCATTTCTGCCTCTTAACATTCACCCCAGAAGGCTCCAGCCTAGCCCACTTTCCAAGTACAGCAGTTTATATGCTGCTCAATGCACTCAATGCACTAAGGGAGTGAGGCTCCCTTGCTCTAAATTCACTCCTGAAAACCACTGGATAAGGTAAGCTACTCCAGCATTCTTCAGAATGAGTAACAGCCCATATCCCTTAAAGACAATTGCAAAGTCCTTAAGTCCTTTGTCACAGTACTACCAAAGCTTTCACACCACTTTTGCTTGGCCCCAAGGAGGTGGAAATGAAGAGTATTTCTGAAACATCCAGGTATGGCTGAAAGAAATCTGGTGTTGATTTTTATAATATATTTGATAAATCTGACTTTTTATTGTTTAAATAATTGGATTTTTGTCATTGCTGGTACTGTATAGCAGTATATAAACATCTCAGCAGCTTGGAACAGAATAAAAGACTCTAAGAAGGGTCTTGAATTAGCCAGGCAAACTTAAGAACAGCATCTGATATCTTTAAGCACAGTCTTTTGTGGGTTTACAGAATGCTAAGGTCATGTTCTAACCAACATGATTTACAGAACAGCTTTATGTTTGATTTCACAAATCTTCTAGCTTATTTTTCTTACTCATTTGATCTTAGGAAGTAGGAAATCCATATGCCTGCACAACTTTAAAGATGTAAAATCCACATCTGCCCAATGAAATTTACAAAGTTTAACTTACCCATTCACATCTTTTTCTGGTTTCACAGCATTCAATACTTTGCTTGTGCATGACTCTCTACAGAGGCGGAGGAGAAGGCCATGAATTTTAGGATTCTCATTGAGTTTTATGATTTCACCTATGACCTAAAAGGTAATATAAGGTTACCAAGGTCAAATTTTAAAAGAGCTAGGTTGCCACATTAAAATTAAAATCACGTATGACGACATTGGAAGTTTAAAATATGAAGAAGCTGCCTAATAACAAATGGAATCAGTCCTGTTTTTTCAGTTGCAAAAATATACTCACAATTATGACCATTTGTAAAAAAAAACCCAACTATGGCCATATCTGTGCTTATGTCATTTATAGCAGTTACATGAACTACATCATTCCAGTGTCCAACTGAGAAATGGTGTTATATGGTAAAGATACCATATGAAAATGATGCTAGATGAAAGCACATCAAGGTGGGTGTAGGAGTCAGATTATCAGTGCTAAATTTGAATCTGCAGCAATCCACAAGTTCAGACAGTCAATAGAAAGAATACAGTCAAAGCAAAGCTACACAATTCCTGTCAGGAACATTTGATCTATTGAGTAAAAGGATAGGAAGCAACGTGTCTTCTCAAGGCAGCTTTAGGGGGGAAATATGTTCTGTCCCAGAATAAGGAGCTGAAATTTGCCATAAAAGCAAGTAAGTCTTTCCAAATTCCATCCATTGTAGAGCTTTCATACTATCACCACAACAGTAGACCTCTGCAGAAATAATAGGACACTTTTTTTTCCTTACCCATAAAGCTCACTGTACCTCCCTAAATATGCTCTAGTAGAGTAGGGTAAGGGAGGATATTATAAGAACGTGAGAGGAAAAAAGTAGCTGACTGCTTTTTAAGAACTCAGTATCCACAAAATGGAAGAGGAGTTATGTGCAAAAGTGTACGTTGATCAATATTTTCTATCCGTAAGTGTCAGCCTGGGAAATCCACAGGGAGAAAAACACTACAATAGTATTCTCTTACCTGTGTCTTCCAGCATTCAGGCATGCAGCCTCTAGTACTTGTGTGTGTGAGTGTGCACACACATGTGTGCCTTGAGTAAGTTTTAATTCCTGGTGACTGCCTGGACTAGTCTCTGCAATTTTCTTGGCAAGATTTTTTGGAAGTGGTTTGCCATTGCTTATTTCCTAGGGCTGAGAGAGAGTGACTGGCCCAATGTCACCCAGCTGGCTTCATGTTGAAGGTGGGACTAGAACTCAGTCTCCCGGTTTCTAGCCTGGTGCCTTAACCACTACATCAAACCAGCTCTTTGTCTCCAGTACTGGGGACAATCGTTAAGACTTTACATTAATAGCCATATTCTCCATATTCTTGAACTTGCTTTGGTTTTTCAGTCTCTCAGAATGGAGGGCAGGGGAATAAAGATAGTTGGAAGAACTATAAACAAACAAACATAAATGGGATAATCTACAAAGAGATAATCTACAAAGCAAGTGGGAACATCCAGATGAACTTAACTGGTCTCAAAAAAGTTAATAGGTTGGATATGGTTAGTACTTAATGGCCAGCCACCATGAAAGAATAGCATAGTAAGTTGAAAAAAACATTCTGAAAGAAGGCAGTAATAAACCACTTCTAGATTACCATCATGGGTATGACCATGTGGGCACCAGAAATCAAGATTCCCTCAAGAGAATTTATATTTTCATTACACTGTACCAACTTGCCAGATCTGAAAACATTTGTGGATAAGCTTGTCAGAACATGTAATTAAGCTTCAGAAGCACTTATTATTGTATCTAGCTTAATCTGAGGGTTTGAAACATGAAAATAATCAGTGTTGGCAGAAATCATAGCAGGGGAAAAAAACCTAAAACATTAATAATAATGATTTTTTTGTGGAATCCTTCAGGAAACTCTTTTAGTAAAGTATGTGCTTGGTATTAATCATTTAGGTTTCCATAAATGTTAGCTATAATTTGCACTCAATTCCCAATAACACATGTCTTTTCATAAGTCCACATTTTTCTATTATATAAAATTGTGTATACATGTCTACACAAAAGCAAGTTCCACTAAGCTTTGTGGCTTATTCCCAGATAACTGGATATAGCACCATAGATTTAACTCCTTTTTAAAATATTGCTGACTTTATTGTTGGATTATAAATCTGGATCCATTAATCCCATATCTAATACAGAAAAGCTTATATTTTCAGGTGTAGCTTTTGGTATCTCCCAAAAAGCTGCATTTAAGAAAAGTAACTATTTGTGCATAGAAATGTTTCCTTTTGCACAAAGGGATCTTTGGATTTACACCATAGTGACTGCTTTTCTTGTTGTTCATTTCATAGTCATGCCATTGTAAAACCAGTGTGTATAAATAACATAAAATGGAGTGTGAGATTCCTGCAGTGATAGTCCTGAAAATAATTCCCCAAATAGTACTGAGTTGAAAGCTTATTTATTTGATTATTTGAACATTTTATATTCAACAGCTTTGGATTCTGATTGGGAAAGTACCTTTTGAATCCTGTAGCTTCTGCAGAAAGCGGAGCAAACTTGCATAGGACCAAGATAAGTCTTTCTAAGATTATGTTAATGGATGGCAGCCAGTGTTTTGCAACATATAACGATTTTATCAATCCAACAATACAGAATATGTAAATAAGTAGAATTTTAAAAATGTTTACCTCATTTTCAGTGCTGTCATGGGGAAGACAAATATGAACAATATCCAAGCCGACCTACAAAAGAAAAAACGGATTTCAAACAAAACTTAATCATATTTCAATATTTTAAATTGTTTTTAGTAGGGGACTTTTTTTTTTCTTCATATTTTCACCTCTTCAGCGACGTTTCTGATCATTTCTTGTCCCAAACCATCATCGCCAACCTTGAAGGAATAAAAAAGAAAAGGGATATAACGACGTAATAGGCTCAATAAAAGTATCCTGGAAAATGCAATGATCTGCAACTTATAACTGAAGAAAAAGTGACCAGGAATCAGAGATTTGAAACCAAGAATATGATTAACTGAACTGGATGGAAAATGCTTCTGTTCCTTGACCAGCATATAAGAGGCAAGACAGGCTGCACTAGCAAACACCTTTCACCAGATCCACAATACTGAACTGCTTTGCAGGTTTTTTGAAATTATTTTAGCAAAGCCTGGCCCTTTCACATTCTTGCAGTAGTACAGAAGCAAAACAAGCCTCAACAAAGACGGAAATGGAAACATACTAGCCTGACTTGCAGGTACATAGCATAAAAATGAGAAGACGAGGAGCCAGTACAGGAGATTATGTAGCATCTTGGCTCTTCTCGGTATATGGGCAGATTTATAGCAACAGCTGCTCTGCACACACAGCAGTTTCCCATACAGAAGATGAAGCCATACGGCACAATAAGAACTTGCAGTGTAGTGCAGCTTTTCCCTTCTGATTCCATAAACATGTGTGGGATTTCAACTCTTACCACCCCAAGACTGCATGGCCAATGGAGGGCATTAGACTCCTTAAAGCCAATGCAGCATTTGTACAAATTGTGCCAATTTCCCTTTCAGCTTCAGAACATAACTCAATATGGAATGCCAGCCTGAAGCAGCACCCAGAATTCAGACCAGTTTTTCAGGAGGGCGGCAGAGGAAGGGCTTTCACCAGATCCAAAACCATGTGATTCTTACTGAGGGAAAAAGAAAATTTCAGCTCAGCCTGAAATTTGATTCCGATATATTATACCCACCTATTAAGGAAGCGTAAGAATCTTATTCTTAAACTCTCTTTAAAAAAAAATCTACAGATCCCAACTTCCCAGTTATCACTCAGTTTTTAGTGCTACTGTATATTCACAGATTTCAATTTCATCAGCAGTTGGAGTCCTATAAATATTATTATTAGCTATTACACTCCTTTCTTCCACAAAGTACAGCCCACTTTTGAAACAAAAAATCCTGCAGGGTTTATTTTTGCCTTACCTGTATAACAGAAAGTGTTGGTTTAAATTTAGGGTGTTCTAGCTTCAGTAAATTCAGGGCTTTTCTTGAGGTTTCAATTATTTCTCTTGAAATAATAATAATAAATGTGTTAATGGGTAATATGATGACTTTTCTTGTCAGCTGGTATCTTTATGGATTCAGTCTCAACCATACCTCATTTCAACATAAATACGTAATGCATGTTAACAATACTACATGTAAGACACCACCATATTTGCTCTGTAGACTCTATGTTGACTGAGCATAACACCCCCCCCACAATAAGCCTCAAGTTGCATCATCAAATAAACTTCATAAACTAATAGTGGATAAGAGTTTATTCATTCATTCATTCATTTATTTTCTGCCCTTTGTAATTCTGTTGGAGGGCACTATTCACTGAGCACCTTCTAGGCCAACTTTCAGTAAGTAAGAGAGAGCTATTTATTTAGAAGACAATATTTAAGAAAAACTACAGCACCATAAACTACAAAACTGTAAAACCATTTCTATTTATGGTTGCCAGTTTCTGTGCCATGTAAACTTGATCTTTGATGATTTTTGATGCTGCCCTGATAAGAAACCCTTGGTTTCTCAAAAGCAGGTTTTTCCCACATCCAAATCCTAAGTATTTTATAATTTAATTCAATATATACTATATCCAACGCAAATCGTTTAAAGTTCAAAGGGGGCTATTTGCAAATTAATGTGTATATTGTTGCAGACTTGCTGCAAACAAATCCAAATCTATTGAGCTGCCAGGCAAGAGGACTGTCCCTTCAAAACTGCACACGTTACCAGACAGTAAATCCCACTCAGCAAGCTGGGATATTTGGACTATGTGGAGTCCTTGGGGTTCTCTGAGCTTGGTTCTTTTCTTGCAAACATTTCATTACCCGGCTATGTCCTACATAGTGTTTGTTACAGTCAGAAGGCTTGCAGAGCGCATCCAACTAGCAGTCAGAAGACATGATGTGAAAACTCCTTAATCTCACAACACATGGACAGACTCAACCATAGTTTTAACTGGGAAACTGTCAACATTTTCGACCAAGCTAAATCCAAAAATGCAAGAGAATTATTGGAAGCTTGGTATTCAGACAAGGCAGCCATCAACAGATACATAGAGATAAACAGCATCTACACACTATTCAAAAGAGACAATAGAAAAGAAAACAAAAGAACAGAAGATCACCTCACCAGCAATCGTCACCCAGATAAGCAGAGATTACCACCAGGCACACAATCGAGCAGTGAACAATAAATACCCTAATCAAGGACCTACCAGAGGAACAATACAAGACCCCCACCCCCACCAAGACTGGCAGGCATGCCGCAATATATTGTATAAACAGAGAGCAAACCCCATCCCATTTTAGCACTGAAGATGTTACCTAGCCGGGTAATGAAACGTTTGC